ATCCTTTTTTGTGCGACTATACACTATAGCTTAGAGCTGCGAATTGCTTTGCTTCAGTAATGTATAATAAATTATACTAATTAATTTTTACTGGCGATGAACCAATATGAGATCTAATTTGGTCTAAGACCAAAAAAGCGTTCGAACAAACTTTTTTCATTGCTGAAAATGCTTTTCAGATATCGATTGAGCCCCATATGCAAGCTCTCTATTTGATATTTTGTTCCCATCTGACAGTTTTGTTTTTATTACCCGATTTTGTACGGGGAAAAGGTACAAAAAACAATGAACCCTCCTAAAGACAAAGTTGTGCCCTCTTCGTAGAGGAGAAAATGTAGAACTAAACTGTGTGAAATTTTTTCTATAAGGCCACACAGCATAACACTAACCACAATCCAGTTTAGCCGATTGCTTGTTCCCTCACTCGTAAAGTTGAGCACTCTGTTCATGTAAACACGTGGGGAAACTCCGAACGGCCTGGCATGCTTCACATACTCACCTGCTTGGTGATTACAGCACAGGCCTGAAACAACTGAAATTCAAATAGTAGTATTAGGGCGATTTATTGAGGAGGGAGGCTTCCCCTGAGGCGTTTGAGCAGTTTTACGATGGCGATTTTTTTTGGCTTCAGGCTTCAAAAGAACTTACAAATACAGCATTTTTGGCCTTTTTACTTTCCAAATTTGCCAGCACCGCAAAAAATTTTAAAAACTAAAAAAAATATATTTTTAAGATTTGGAGGAAGTTCGAAAAATCATTTAAGTCGACCAAAAAATCGATAAACGTCCGAATTTTTTTTAAAAAAAACTGTCCCGTGACAAAACATCTGCTCACGCCGCTGAAATTATAATAAATTTATCTTCCGAATCAATCATAAAAATAAATCAATTTGCTGATGTTTTGGTGGCTAAAAAAGTTTAAAGTATACAACTCAAATGCATCAATAAACAACTCAAATGGGGAAGAAATGAAAAAAAAACCTTATAAAAAAATTGATTGTAAAACTTCGAAAAGAACTGCTCGGGGTGGGTTTATTCTGCAGACAAATTTCGACTTTTTAACCAACCATTTTTGATTATTATTTTCCTGAGCTTAAACTTGAAAACTTATTTCAACTGTGATCATTGTTCCTAAAATTATGAGTGCCATTTTGGCCAATTTGGACAATTAACGCGCGATATATTTCGCGCTATTAACGCGTAAGCGGAGAGTTAATCCGTCTTAGAAATTTTTCTCATTTTTCATAGGAACCAACGTCTACAAAA